ATGAAGTACCTCAATTTCTTCCTATATTGCAGTCATCCACAGAGAAACATCTGAACAAATCATAGCCTCTTCAAAAGTTGAAGGTTCTCCTTCTTCATTTAGAAGATAATACGTGATGTAGGTTCACTTTAGTTCTTTGAAATAGGGTGTTGGATTACTTAAGAAAATCTAGGGAAAATTCCCACTGGACATTAAGATAACAAGTTATCTAGATGTGAAGGTGCATTTCCAACGGCTCAAGAGAGGAGTGAATGAAATTAATATTGATTAGAAAAATAACACACGAACAAGTAGTAAAAATAGAAGAAAAGAATAACAAAATGTAAGATATAGAAGATGGTGATGGTGAGGAAACACGTCACTCTTTGGATAAGGGTCATAGTAGGCACACCAAGTCAAGAGATAAGTGGTGAAACCGCCACTTGCTTAGGAGCAAAATAAGGTCATGGAGTCTCCACCCTAGGGAGAAGATGCTCACGGAAATATGGTTGGACAAAGGAGTATTTTGATTTCAAATGTTCAACCCCTACAAAGGAGAAGAAGCATCCTTTAAATAGATAGTCTTGGGGGCTTCTTAGCAAATGACAAAAGTTCTAAAAGGGTACATTTGCAAATCCTAAAAAGTTTCTTCTACAAACCTAACATGAAAGCAAGGAAAAGACAAATGGAATGTTGGACTTCCTATGGTGATTCTTGGCTAAGACTAAGGAGGAGACCACATTTTTCTCATTCACCACCATAAAGCACCTTTCTCTTTATACTTTTGCTTTATACTTTATGTTTTTCACCTCATGCACATGTGGTTCAATCCTAGCTTGCCATGTGGAGAGTCCTAATCATCCTCTTAATCCATGCTTAACCTACAAGACACACAAATGAAACTAGATTAGCAATGTTGACTTGGGTCAAGTCAACTCTAGTAGAAAAGTCAACCCAAGTCAAGGTCAACAAGTCAACTAAAATTAATTCTACTCAATTCAACTTAGAGATTTCAAATTAAGCTAATGGAAAATAAAGATAGGGTAGAACTAGAAGACTCTCCCATTGTCATGCCTTCATCATCCTCCCTTTCTTAGAGAGAATTTGACCACGAATTCTTATACCCTACATCAAAAGGAGAAAGATCATAAACATTAAATGAGTTACTTATGTTATATGTGGATGGTAAGTCTAACTCATATGCATTGTTGTTGATCTTCCTAATGATTTGGAAGGGACCATCTCCTCTTGGGGTAAGTTTAGACTTTCTTTGAGTAAGGAACCTTTCCTTCCTCAAATGAAGTCAAACCCAATCCCCTTCTTTGAAGATGACTTTCTTCCTTCCCTTGTTAGTACTCTCTTGATGCTTGCTCACCCTTTTCTCAATTTTCCTTTTGACTTGCTCATGTAACTCTCTAATCATGTTAGCCTTAGTGGCTCCATCTTGGCAAGTCCATGCCTCATGGGTGGGGAGGGGAAGAAGATCCATGGGAGTGAGAGGATTGAATCCATACACAACTTCAAAGGGGAATGGGAGGTAGTAGAATGCACAACCCTATTGTATGCAAACTCTATGTGAGGGAGAAGTTTCTCCCACTCTCTAGTATTTTGGACTATCATGCACCTCAACATTTGACCCAAGGTTCTATTAACCACCTCAGTTTGGGGGTGACAAGTTGTTAAAAATAGGAGCTTTGTTCCAAGCTTCGCCCAAAGTGTCCTCCAAAAATGGCTCAAGAATTTTGTGTCCCTATCACTCACAATGGTCCTAGGTAGGCCATGTAGTCTCACAACTTCCTTAAAGAAAAGATTTGCAATGTAAGTAGCATCATCAACCTTGTGGCATGGAATGAAATGGACCATTTTTTAAAATCTATCCATAACCACAAGGATGGAATCCTTACCCTTTTTTGTCCTTGGTAGCCCTAGCACAAAATCCATTGAAATATCCACCCAAGGTTTAGAAGGGATGGGCAAAGGGGTATAGAGACCATGAGGTTGGACTTTGGACTTTGCCTTCATGCATGTTATGCAACTTCTACAATGTTTGTCTACATGCTTTCTCATGTGGGGCCAATAGAAATGTTCTTTTAAGATTTCCAAAGTTTTGTTGGCCCCAAAATGTCTCATTAATCTTCCCTCATGTGACTCCCTAATGAGTGAAGCTCTTAAGGAACCCTTGGGTATACAAAGCCTCTTACCTTTGAAAAGGTATTGATTGAGGAGGTAAAAGCCTTTGTAAGCCCCTAGGTGGCATTCACTAACAATGGGGGAGAAATCATCATCACTAGCATACAAGTCCTTAATATGATCAAAGCTCAAAAATTTGGTTTCTAAAAGGGTTAAGAGTGAATGGCACCTTGAAAGGGCATCCGCCACCACAATATTTTTTCCTTGTTTATGTTTGATCACATATGGGAATTGTTCTATGTATTCAACCCAACTTGCATGTCTCTTGTTCAACTTGCTTTGGCTTTTCAAAAATTTTAAGGACTCATGATCACTATGAATCACAAATTTCTTTGAAAGAAGATATGTTGCCAAGTTTGCAAAGTTCTCACAAGAGCATAAAGTTCTTTGTCATAGGTGGAGTAATTGATGTGACTCCCTTTTAATTTCTCACTAAAATAGGCAATTGGGTGCCCTTCTTGAAGAAGCACGACCCCTATGCCTATATTGGATGCATCGCACTCTACTTCAAAGGTCTTGGAAAAGTTAGGAAGGGCTAGAAATGGAGCATTGATCAATTTTTCCTTAAGAGTTTCGAAAGCTTTGTCTTGATCCTTGCCCCATTTGAAGTCCACACCTTTTTTAACCAATTCATTCAAAGGGGAGGCTATAGTGCTAAAGTTTGGCACAAGCCTTCTATAAAAACTAGTCAACCCATGAAAAGACCTCACTTCACTCACATTCTTTGGTCTTGGCCAATCCTTGACGGCCACCACTTTTTCTTGGTCCACATGGACCCCATGTTTATTTATTTTGAACCCTAGGAAGATCACATGATCCATGCCAAAAATTCATTTTTCTATGTTAGCATACAAGGACTCCTTCCTTAGGGTCTCTAGCACACTCCTCAAATGATATGCATGTTCGTCTTTGGTCATACTATAGATGAGAATATCATCAAAGTATACCACTACAAATTTCCCAATAAAGTCTCTAAGAACATGATGCATGAGTCTCATGAAGGTGCTAGGTGCATTGGTCAAGCCAAAAGGCATAACCAACCACTCATACATTCCAAACTTAGTCTTGAAAGAGGTTTTCCATTCATCACCTTCTTTGATCCTTATTTGATTATATCCACTCTTCAAGTCTATTTTGGAAAATATGGTGGCACCATGCAATTCATCCAACAAGTCATCTAACCTAGGAATGGGATGCCTATACTTAATGGTGATGTTTTTTATAGCTCTACAATCACTGCACATTCTCCATGAACCATCCTTTTTTGGGACAAGTATCATGGGCATTGATCAATTTGGTGCTCTATTCCCTTAAGGGTGGAAGTCCCTTTAGGGGATCTTGAAAAACAATTTTAAAATCCTTTAAAACTTGGGCCAAATCTTGAGGACAAGAAGAGGTGGTTTCTTGGAAGGATGGGAAAGAGCTAGTGGGGAAAGCTAACAAAACTTGTTTTTGAGCAAGCATTACCTTTTTCACTCTCTTGTGGGAGAGTATCATGCTCTTCTTGGTCTCTTGATTCTTTTGAGCTACTTCCTCCTTCTTTTTCTTAATCATGTGAAGTTGGTCCTCATTAACCTCTTGAGGGGACAAAGGTAAAAGTGTGATATTTTTACCTTGGTATTCAAAAGAATATTTGTTGGTATGACCATCATGAATTTTTTTTTTATCAAATTGTCATGGGCTTCTAATTAAAATATGTGTAGCTTCCATTGGCATAACATCACACAATACCTCATCCTTGTATTTTCCAATTAAGAGGTTGATGAAGACTTGCTTGTTCACTTTAATTTCTCCTTCTTCACTTAACCATGAGATTTTATAGGGCTTGGCATGGGGGGTGGGTTTTAAGCCAAGCGTGTCCACAACCCTCTTGCTAGCCACATTCACACAACTACCTCTATCAATGATGAGGGAGCAAAGCTTGTCATTGATTAGGCACCTTGAGTGGAAAATATTTTCTTTTTGAGAGTTTTCAAAATGTTTAGGTTTTTGGCCTAGCATGTGCCTTATCACCAACAAATCTTCTCCTTCATGAGGCTTTATTTCATCTTCACTTGAAGAAGAAGAACTAGAAGAACTCTTGGGGGATAGGGGAGAAGAATGCTCACTTTCTACTTCTCCTTTTGGGTTCAAGACCATAGTTCTTTTTGTTGGACAATTGGAGGCTATGTGACCATAACCTAAGCATTTAAAACATTTGATGGAACTTGTTCTTGAACCTTGAGAAGAGTTAGGAAGGTCTTTAGGAGCCTTAGTCAAATTCACCCTAGGAGTTTCTTGAGAGGTTTTGGAAGGTGGTTTTTCAAACTTTCTTTCTTTCCCTTTCCAGCTATTAGAGTAGTCGTCATTGTAAGTTGCACTTCTCTTGTCCTCATTTTTCTTTTTCAATTGGTTTTAAACTTTTAAGGCCAAGTGTAAAACTTTGTGAAATTGGAAGTGCTCATACAACTCTACCACATCTTGAATTTCCCTTCTCAAGCCACTCACAAATCTAGCTACCTTTTCTTCCTCACTTTTGTTTTGGAGTCCCACTTTAAGGAGCAAGGACTCCATCATCTTTGCATACTCACTCACACTCATGGTTCCTTGTTGAAGCCTTTTTAAGTCCATCCAAGTCGCGGGTGGCTCTTGGTTTATAATGTCCATACATTTGTTATGCCACCAAGTCATGGCATAATCCTCAAATTCTAAGACTACGAATTCTACTTGCTCTTGTTCCCTAATTACATGAATGGTAAAAATTTGGTCCACTTTTTGCTCCCACTCCAAGTAGATGTTGGGATCTTCTTCTCCTTTGAACTTTGGAATCTTGATTGGTAGTGGTTGTCTCCTTAGAGGGGAATGGTGCCTCCTCCTTCCTCTATAATCCTCATAAGTGTCTCTTGAAGATGATCTCCTCCTCCTCCTATCTTCCTCACTTAGTTCAAGTCTTTGGATGTGCTCTCTAAGCATCATCTCACTTTGTCTTTTATCTTCCCTTAGTTGTGCAATGGGTTCTCATCTACTCTCTTCTAGTTGTTGCACAAGTTGAATCAAACTAAGGCCTCCTTGTTGTGCAAGAGGAGTGATGATGGGAGGTGAATAGGCTTCCAGTGACTCTTCTTCCTCTATTTCTTCCAAGATAGGAGAAGAATTTTCACCACCTAGGTCCATATTACTCAAATCGAAAACAAACACAAGAGTTAACACAAGTATGAGTTAAAAATTGAGGCAATCCCCACCCCACAATGCAATTTCCCAAGTGTTTGGATGCACAATCCCAACAACACAAGGCTAGGCTATCACTTTCACTTCTCAAAGGGTGGAAATCACTCCAAAATTTTCAAAACCTTTTCTAACCAAGCAACTTAGGTCACGGTTTTCACCAACTAGAAGGCCAAAGAAAAGAAAACTAGCAAGGACAAAACAAGGACCCTAAGACAAGCAAGAAAAGCACAAAAACAAGAAAGCAAAACTCTAAGAGGGAAAATTTTTGAGACAAAACTTTAGCAAAACTAACACAAGAAAAACACTTTAAAAAAAATATTAGAACATGCCTTTGAATAACTTAAATCATGCACATGCCAAGGAAAGCAAGAACCACATAGTTTTATGAAACTAATTTTCCAATATCACCACATTCAAGTTTTCAATTTGAGAGCATAACACCCTATAAAAAAATGCAATTTCACTCCCCAAGCTCCATGTTTGGTCTCGGTTTTTAGCTAGAATTTTGGGGAAATTTTTTTTCTCTTTTGCAAACAAGTTTCCCAAGGTGATAGAAAAGGGTTTCAAGGTGCCTTGAACACTTAGTTCCTTGAGTTTTGGTCACAACTCAATTCCAAAGTACATACACTCAATAAGTCATGTAGACATGCAAGATTCAAATATTTTAGAACAACAAGAACAAGAAAATCACTAGTTAACATATGACATATGACTCAAAATCAAAGATAAACACATTTAAAGACTCTTTCAACATGAGAGACAAAATTTTAACATGGTAACACTACAAGTAGCCCTCGGTTTTCCAAGCAAAAAAAAATAACCAATAAAAATTATGTTCACAACTTCACAAGATCATCAATATATGGAGATGGAGTTCTAGATACTTAAACCTTGAAGTGAAATGGAAAAATGTGCAACACGAAGTTTGAACAAACCAAGGCCAAGAGTCCACCAAGAGTAACAACACAAGACAACAAAAGTTAGCACAAGAAAAACACCATATTCAAGATAACCATGGCTCTAGATACTAACTGATGTAGGTTCACTTTAGTTCTTTGAAATAGGGTGTTGGATTACATAAGAAAATCTAGGAAAAATTTTCACTGGACATTAAGATAGTAAGCTATTTAGATGTGAAGGTGCATTTCCAACGGCTCAAGACAGGAGTGAATGGAAATAATATTGATTAGCAAAACAACACATGAACAAGGAGTAAAAATAGAAGAAAAGAACAACAAAATGTAAGATATAAAGGATGATGATGGTGAGGAAACACGCCACTCTTTGGACAAGGGCCATAGTAGGCACACCAAGTCAAGAGATAAGTGGTGAAACTGCCACTTGCTTAGGAGCAAGATAAGGTCATGGAGTCTCCACCCTAGGGAGAAGATTCTCACGGAAATATGGTTGGACAAAGGAGTATTTTAATTTCAAATGTTCAACCCCTACAAAGGAGAAGAAACACCCCTTAAATAGATAGTCTTAGGGGTTTCTTAGCAAATAACAAAAGTTCTAAAAGGGTACATTTGTAAATCCTAAAAAGTATCTTCTACAAACCTAACATGAAAGCAAGGAAAAGACAAATGGAATGTTGGACTTCTTATGGTGATTCTTGGCTAAGACTAAGGAGGAGACCACATTTGTCTCATTCACTACCATAAAACACCTTTCTCTTTATGGTTTATGTTTTCCACCTCATGCACATGTGGTCCAATCCTAGCTTGCCATATGGAGAGTCCTAATCATCCTCTTAATCCATACTTAACCTACAAGACACACAAATGAAACTAGATTAGCAATGTTGACTTGGGTCAAGTCAACTCTAGTAAAAAAGTCAACCCAAGTCAATGTCAACAAGTCAACTAAAATTAACTCTACTCAATTCAACTTAGGGAATTCAAATTAAGCTAATGGAAAATAAAGATAGGGTAGAACTAGAAGACTCCCCCCTTGTCATGCCTTCATCAATATGCATCATGACTTGCCATCACATATTGTGAATGCCAAGATGACCTAACTTTTTCTCATGTTGATCGCCAGAGATCTCCATTACCAACCTTATTTGGCTCTTGATATTTGTGCTCCTCTTCTGACTCAAACGAGTCATTCGAAGACTTCTTTATCTGTACTATAATCTTGTCCTTTATCAAGTTGTCATTTGTCTGCTCACTTTTTCATTCATTTTCTGCAAAGACTATATCTCTACTAACAACCTTGTGGGAAGTGGGATCCCACAGGCGATACCTGAAAGTAAGGATTTTTGTCGCGGTTTCAACACTTTCAAATAAGTTCCCCTAAAATAGTAATAATGCAGTACAATGGGAACCAGAATATCAATCCGAGGAAGTAATAAAAATATATTATTGAGTTATGAATGATTCAATGGGAAACTAAACTAAAAATGAAATTTACAATCTTAAACTAAAATGAGGTTAAATCCTAATATACAATGAATGAAAATACTGCAGAATGCAAAAATGGCTAAAAATATGTAGAATAACAAAAACAATGTAAAATCTCAAATCTGACCGTGATGAACAGTAACCACGGTCAGTTTCGCAAATCTAACCGATAAGAACAGTATTCACAATCAGGAATCACAGTCAAAAATTTGTGCTCTCGATCAACATGCAAATACTATAAAATGTCTTGGTCAAAAATTGAAATTAGTGAACAAAATACATGGTTGATCGCGAAGAATGCTAACAGAAATGAAAAATAATGCAAAAGAATGAAGTTAAACCAAATTCATAAATCTGACCGTGATGAACAGTAACCATGGTCAGAAACACACCAGAAAAATAGACTCTCGGTCAAATGGCAAGCTTCAATCAAGGGGTTGCATAATAGGAGCGGAAATTAACTTATTTTTTAACTCATCAAATGCAAGTTTACAATCATCATCAAATACATATTTCACATCTTTATGCAATAATTTAGATAAAGGAGAAGCTAATTTACTAAAGTCCTTAATGAACCTTCTATAAAAACCTGCATGCCCAAGAAAAGATCTTACCTCCTTCACGAATTCTGGATAATTTAGGGTTGCAATTGCTTCTACCTTAGTCTTGTCAACCTGTATACCTTTAGCGGAAATCAAATGGCCAAGGACTATGCCTTCTTGGACCATAAAATGACATTTCTCATAATTTAACACCAAATTAGACTCTACACATCTATGCAATACTTTAGATAAATTATCAAGACATAAATCAAAATTAGAACCAAATACAGTAAAATCATCCATATATAGTTCCATACAATGCTCAATTAAATCACTAAATATACTCAACATACATCTCTGAAAAGTAGTGGGGGCATTACACAAACCAAATGGCATCCTAGAATATGCAAAGGTACCAAAAGGACATGTGAATGTAGTTTTGTGCTGGTCCTCTTGTGCAATATGTATATGAAAATAACCAGAAAAATCATCCAAAAAGAAATAATGGGACTTACCTGCAAGGCGCTCTAACATTTGATCAATGAAGGGTAGAGGAAAGTGATCTTTCCTGGTAACCTGGTTAAGTTTTCTGTAATCAATACACACCCTCCATTTATTTACAATTCGTGCCTGCGACATCTCTTTATTTTTCCCTTCAATAACTGTAGTTCCTGATTTCTTTGGTACAACATGCATAAGAGATACCCACTCACTATCTGAAATTGGATAAATTATGCCGGCCTTCAATAACTTAGCTACTTCTTTCTTTACTTCTTTAGCTATGGTTGGATTGACTCGCCTTTGATGTTGCCTAGAAGTCTTAATATTATCATCAAGTAAAATCCTATGCATACATACAGCAGGACTTATCCCCGGAATATCCTCAAGGCTCCATCCAATAGCTTTTTCATTTGCCTTTAATACATTAAACAAAGCTCCTTCTTCTGCAACAGATAAATTATTAGCAATAATCACAGGTTTTGTATTAAACTTACCCAAAAATTTGTATTTGAGGTGAGCAGGCAACTGTTTAAGTTCATTTGTACTTTGTGGTTGTTGCTCACACTCTTCTTCAACTTCTATTTTTGTATTTTCTTCATTTTCTTCCTTTTTTTGTGAATTTTCAAGTGTAATATGTTGAACATTCAAGGACTTGATGTTGCACTTGATGGACATGAAGATTGTTGATTTTGATGATGATTCAAGAACACAAAGACTTAGAGTGTTGAAGACTTGTTTTGTATTGTAATAACTCTGTTTCAATTAGATTGAGTCTGTAATATTAGAGTTTAAGATAGCCGGTACATAGTCTGCACCTTAGAAGCTTCAAAAAGCTCAAATTTATCATCCAGGCTCGGCTTTAATCGATTAAATAGGGAAATAATCGATTAAAACAGTGAGAAAAACCATTTTCTGTATCTGCTCACTGGTTTAATCGATTAAACCACCTGTTAATCGATTAATAGGCCTGTTAATCGATTAACAGCCCTTTTAATCGATTAAAACAGTGTGTTTTGGGGTTCTGTTGATTTTGGCTCTGTAATAATCGATTAATACTTCATTTAATCGATTATTTCAGTCAGATTTTGATTTTTAACTTCAAATCAACCCTATTTTCGAAAATCCTTTTCCCAAGAACCCTAATTCCGAAATTCCCAAATCCCAAACCCTAATTTCTCTACTTAAGCTTCTCTATGGCACTCAAAAATTAGAACAACCTTTTTCATACAAAAGTTAAGTGCTGTGAGTGCCAGAGAACTGTTTGTTGCAAGAAAAAGAGGCTTTCAGAACCTGGTGTGGACTAGAAGCGATAAGAATCACTAAGTGGAGTTCTTAGTGGATTGTGTGTTGTGCCGTCTCTAGGGAAAGTTATTCATCATCTCTTGTGGATTTCAAGAGAGGTGTTTTCTTATCTTTATCTTTTCAATTGTAATTTGTTTGTAACAACTTGATTATAGTGACAGCGTTAATCCTCTGTTTGAGTGATTAACAACTGGACGTA